TAAACATCTGTGCTACAATAAATGAGATGAGCATGGGGGGTGGAGGTGATAAAGAAAAAACATTTCTGCCCTTTTTGTTGAGAGGAAGCTCAACTGTGAAGAGGCATTGCATCATGAGCTCTAATGAAAGACCAGCTATTCCCCTTGGGAAAATGAAAGCACTTGCCTCATTTCCCTCTTACTGGCAGAGGAATTTCATTTGAGAATAAATACTGCTTTGGTTGACCTGAGAAATGGCTTTTATACAAATGGCTGCCAGTGGTGTGCACTCTTAAGTGCTGGAAAGGACAGCATGATTTTTGTAAAAGTTAGTGGCTCGGACTAGAATTACTGTTTTGGTCCTCATCTGTACGGATTCTCATGTATTCAACTGTCTCCTTGAGATTAGTTTTTATCTTCTGTATTTGTGCTGGGCTGAGGAAGTAGCAGATTACATGAGAAGTGGGGAATGGAAGGAGACTAGGAGTTCTGATGGGGAAAACACTCGGGCCTGGTAGAGAAAGGGGAACATGGCAGACATTACTGAGAGTATAATTTGTCTAAGCCATGGAAGAGTCACACTTAGCTTCAGTTCTATATATTTAATTTTATTTTTACAAAAGTAGCATTGAAAAGCTTGTGCATTGTTTTATGGAGTAAGTTCATTGTTTGAACAGTAGCACCCGGAAGTGCTGTTGTTAATCCCAGCAGTGTCTAAGTCTTGGCTGACAGAAGACACAGAACTGCTCTGCTGGTTGTGCTTGTACTTCACTCTGCTGCTGTGACATATGCAAGGATCTGTGGTTAGGAAACTCACCACCAGGCCTAACTTTTGAAGAAAGACATTTCACAATTCCCAGCATACAGGCATTGTGAGGCATATTTTGTAGGGAGCTGGAGATGAATCAGCTGCATCTGAATCGGCCTAGAGCTGAATCGCGCTCCCCTCGTGCCTCAGCAGTGCAACTGACTTCAAGAAGCTGTGCCATATCTCACCTCCAAAATGCCCAGGCTCCTTTGTTTAAAACAGCTGACTTTGGAGTGAGTAATGGCATTCCCTGTAGTTACACCCTGAGCAGGTGTGGCTTCAACCACTTGGTAGCCATTTCAAGAGCAAGGTGTTAGAAGCACATTGTAAAGCATGGTAGAGATTAATTAATTACTGCTGTTACTCTGCTGTTGTATTGGATGACTCAAGGTCTTCACAAGTAATATATTTACCGGCTGAGATAACAAAGTGGAATTTAATCTGTTAGACAGAAGCAAGTTAGCAGAGGATGGCTTTTCTTTTAGTGGATCCTGTTATGAAGGATCTGTTATTTCCTGTGGAAAATGAGTTTACCAAGTCTTTCTCCACTCATCTAAGTATGCTGGTGGAAGAAGACTTACATATTTTAACTTCTAACATGGCTAGACAAAGCTGCATGTCAAAATTTAAGTGCCAGCTTATACTGGGAGCAATTCAGCTCCAGGAAAGTTGGAGGAAAAAAAACCTGTATAACATCTTGTCGGCTTCTCTTTTCACGTTGGTTAAGTATAATTGGGGAAAATTTGAATACACAGGTGCCTCAAATCTGCATGTTCTGCTTAATAATACCCACTAAGAGCAGCTGACCCAGTGAATCATGGTGGGCTGAGGCTTTCTTGATCATAATAAACCTAGTGAGGTGTTCTTTTGTTGGCTTTCACTTGACAGCAGTCATGTGGGACAGTAAACTGTGTGACAGCAATGTGATTTTTCTGTAAGTGCTGGTGTCTAGCTAGTGAGGAGTTTTTGTTAGCTTGGTTGAAGTTCTGTGTCTTGATGTGTGAGCAGTTGGAGTGTTTTGAGCTTTTGTTTGGGAGCAGGAGGGTGTCTCCAAATTAATTAATGAAGATCTCAGGCTTAGGTTTCCAGTGGCCATCAAGCTGTTTTGTGTCTTGGGACACTTGGCTTTACTGTTTGCTGTCAGTGGTCTTGATGGTCAGAGATGGTGGACTATGATGAAAATGATGATTAAGGTAAACACCGTTTCTGCCTATTATGTATAGTGTTTTTCTTGAATGATTTTGGCTCTATTTATTTGTTTTAATCCCTGTAACCCTTCTTTGTATTTAGTTCATATGTTTATATAATCTGCATGCTGTTAAAATTAGTCGAGGCACAGGCTTTGGTTGTTTAGAAAAAGAGTTATAGCTCAGAAGGAGGTACTCTCAGCTTTTGTGTAAACATAGAGATGTGTTTTCTGTGTGCTTAATTAACCTTTGCCAAAATTGCCCAGCCTCTAGTGCCACTGCAAGAAGGCGGAAATTCCTGTGGTATGTTCAGGTATGGAATCATGTCTAACTCAGTTGAGTGAATGACGGCTGCCCCGTGATGCCCCATGACCCATAGGTGGAGTCACACCTGACAGGGTTGACTGCAAGTCATCACCAGAGCAAGTCTGTTGGAAATTAGCTCATTTGGGTGCTGTGCTTGGGGTTTGCTTGTCATGGCTGGTTCCATGGCAAGGCCCAGGGCTAGAGTGATCTCATGGGCTTGTGTCTTTTCCAACCAGACCAAATATCTGTTGCTTTGTTAGAAAAATATGTCATCTTGGGAGAACAGAAATGTACCTGAAAACTCTCTTGTATGAAAACAGGAGAAAGTTTCTTGCTGTCTGTTTGTACTTACTAATTCACCAAGGTGGGATTGTTTGTTTGGGTTTTGGGGTTTTGGGGTTTTGTTTGTTTGTTTGTTTGTTTTAATACCCAGCTGTCAGTCTTGTGAACTTACCTATGCCATTGCCATTAAAGGCAATAGATTCTTTTTGTCATCTAAGCTGATAAAAGTCCTTTTTGTCAAGTTAAACTTCAAGGTGCACAGAAGTTAATGGAAGTGGTTGTTTATTTGTTAATTATTTCTTCTTATACAAAGTTTGAGGTTTGAACACAGGAAAGGTTTCTTCCTCTTTCCTGGTTAGTGTTTTTGCTTGATGATAGTGGATGTTGTGGATGACTTCAGTAAGCATGGTGACAGTCGGCTCCAACAGGGTAGGTACTTGCTTGAACAATCAGAATAATAATAAATATTATCAGAATTAATAATAAATATTAAAACTGAGGTGTCCATTATTGGAAGTTCGATATCAGTAGTATTAACAGATTGGAGAGGGATGTACTCCACAATGTGCTTGTCTCTGAGAGGTGAGTCTTGGCTGGTATCTATATGAAGGGGTTTGTCTGCGGTTAGGCAGACTAGGAGCGTTCCAAGTTAAAGCTTCAGTTCTTGAAATGCATCATATGCCCATGCCAGAGGCCTGCAGACTGCTTCCTGTCCCTTTAGCATCCACTTTTTTTTTTCCTTCTGTGGCTGCTTTGTTTCCCCCTGAATAAAATACTACAAAGCTGTAATAGCCTTTGGAGAGATGAAGTGGGCAGTTTAGATGAAGCTGTGTCTGTCCTTGTTACGGCAATTTTGGGGAGGGGGAAGGTGAAAAATAAAAGAACAAGAAGGCTTCATTTCTCTACCAAGAATAGAGGTTTGAATTCTGAATACGTTCAGTAATCTGGTATTTGTAATATATTAGGTGGGATCTGGCAACTGTGCAAGATGCTACACAGTCTTAGAGTTGTGCTTAAGGAACTAATAGGAGAGTTGTATTTCACTGTGCTCTTTTTTGCCTTGGTTTCCTTATCTGTGAAATAAAGGTATGTTTTCTGTGTCATGCAGGAAATCAGTATCTGAGCTCAGATCAGAATTCAAGGTTTCTGACTTGCAGTTCCCCATTCAGACCACACCTTTCTTTTTATAGCTATGGGAAAAAAGTCTGCTCCAGCATGTCATTTAGTGAAATGCCATATAGGAAAAGAAAAACTAAACCCAGAAGAGCTAAAAGTAGCTGGTTTTAAATTAGGAGACATAAAAAGTTGTGCAGATTCTTTCTGGTAAATGGAAGCTTCCAGTGCCACAGCAGATGTGCTCATCTTTGAGGTCGTGTTGGCAAACTGAAGTGCCTGCAAAGGTGTGCCAAGTAGTGTCCAATAGACTCTGATACAAGACTGGCCACTGAAGTCAGGGAAATCCTTTCTCAGGATAAGCTCTGCTGGGATGTGCTTGTGAGGACAGATGGAACACTGTGACTCAGCTGTTTGTCCATAGAGTGAATGAATATTCAGATGTTCTTTTGAAAGCGTAGAGGTTCTTCAAAGCTTCTCCTTTTCTAAGTGAAGTCTTAAATCATTAAAGCTGAGAACTGAAACTCTTTCATACTATATATGGCATTTGTGCTAGTGGTACAAACCGGAGTGTATTTATAACACTGGTTTGCTGCAGGAGTATGGATTGGGAACAAATGTTTGTTTGGAAAAAATCCAATTCTAGGGATTTGTTTTAATACTGCAAGTAAAATCCATAGCAACCTCGTAAAAGCAGCAGTTGAAAAATCTCAATAGGCCTTCCCTCCATGGAAAAAACATGAAATTGGTGTAACATTTTGTATCTGGAGAGTTACTTGTGATTGTTCACGTAGTAGGCAGTGACCCTGTAACATACTGTCTGTCGCCTTGGAATTCCGGGATGCTGTGGTGTTGTTGCCACATGCTGGGATTGTTGGCATTACTTATTTAATACATGCTGTTGTTTTCATATGTACTCTTCATTTGTTCAGAAATAGCTACTGATTCAGATATACCAACTAATATCTCATGAAAATTGTAGCAGTGTTCTTAACACTATGGCATGGCATTGACATGAACAAATCAAGGCATAAAATGAGCTGAGCTGTTTTGTACACTGCTGCTAACATTTGAATGAAAACAGCTGGCAAAAAAAGGGCACAATTGTCTTTTGGGTGTGTTGATTTAACCATCTCCCTTCAGTCCAAGTGTTGTGTTTGATTTGCTTAACGGGTTAATCCTTTATGTTGCTGTACAGCTAATTACTGTTATGTTGAGCCTCTGTGGAATAATTACCACTTGGACTAGGAATGGTCATATCCAAAATCTTAAAATAATTGTTTTTATTTTGTTTTCTAAAACTGCTGCCTCTTTTGTTTTTGAAGGATGTTCAGAAGGAGAGGGAACCTCATGTTTATCTCACTAAAGAAGAAGTTAAAGAGAAGATACAAAGCTATAATTCATCTGTCACCGATAAATTAAAGATGACCTTGGTAAGTTTTGCGTAGAATTCCTGTAATTTTTAATAGGAGCAATTGAGCTGTAACTTCGTAGCACATTGTGAATCATTTTAGTATCAGCATCTTACATATCAAACTGTCTCTGTTTTAGTGATTTTGTAAGAGACATTCCCTTAGATTTTGGAAATTAAATCTCATGTCCGAAATGTTCTTATTCATGTAATTCTTTTATATGGATCAAAACAAATTGTAGTAAAAACAAATTGATGTAATTTGAAACGTGTTTGAAATAAACTGTTAGTTGACACTAAGAAGTAAATTTGTTAGATGAAAATGCTCAGCTGGTAAAAATAGAGATACATTTATCTTGTTTGTGTAGATAAATTTTTGTTAGGTATCTCTCCGATCAAGATGCTCAACCAATGAAGAAAGTTGAAATATGCATTATTTATTACAGGAGACTTAATTTTCAGAGTAGTCATAGAGGTTTTCAGCATGAGGAGACTTTCCCCCTGCCCCTAGGTCCTAATATTATTAGAATACAACAGTTATTAATAAGAAAAAAAGTAATATTCAGTAAGAAAAATTAATATTCAACAGATAAACCAGAAAGAATAACTGAGTTACTGAAACAATACCTTTCTTGTGAGGTGTCATGTATTGCAGTGGCATTTAAATTCTCTTCACTACTAGTTTTTTAATCTGCCTGCTCCACTGTTACGTCACAATTGGTCATTGCTTATTTTAACAGTCAAGTACTTTCTTTCTGCTGCAGAACGCAAATGGGATTTACACTGGCTTCATCAAAGTCCAGATGGAACTATGCAGACCAATCACTGTGCAGTCTTCCCAGAGCCAGGGGAGGTGTGCTCACAGCAATAATGAAACTGCTTTTTACTTGCCGGATGGCTGCGTGAATACCCTGCACATCAGCAGCACCAACACTGTGCGTGAAGTTATCGAGGCCTTGCTCAAAAAGTTCTTTGTGGCTGACAACCCTGCGAAGTTTGCACTTTATAAACGCTGTCACAAGGAAGATCAAGGTATAAGCCAAGCTTGTGGCGTTTCAGTAGTGGAGGGGCTTGGTGAGGGACTTGTGCTATAGTAATACTTGAAATAAGCCGGGTGGAAAGACTCAGATAAATGGAGGTGACAGTCCCACTCTTTTTTTTCTTATGAAAAGTAGCATGTGTAACAGAGTAGAGTAAATGATTTGGGGATGTTTCAGGATAATTCCCAAGAGACAAAGTCACCTGCCAAAACATTTACACATCTCCTGTGTGTGGAAGTCCATTTTATTTTATGCCCCGTTATAAGGCTCTAACTTTCAGCTAGCCTTATACACTGCAGAGTTGTGAGATTAAATTACAGGATAGATTTTTAAAAAAAGAAACCCTGGTGTCTGAGGAGCCTGAGATCCTTTTACTGGCAGACAGCTCTTGAGGTGCTGAGTTAGTGCACACGGCTCTCCCAGTTCACTGGCTGCTGTTAGTGGTTTGTTGTATGTTGTGATTGGGAAGATAAGAAGATGGAATAGGTGTTTTTAGGGAAAGGTGCGTTTTGCCGACATTGTTTTCTTGCACTTAGAATCCACCTTCTTCCATGGACACTGAGAGCAGTTTCAGGAGTCCAGATGTTTCTGGGTGTCAAGTCATGCCAACCATGTCAGGCAGGCGGAGTTGTCTTTTAGACTTTGTGTGTGAGATTTTTAAGAGAAAAAAGTATCAGAATGGTGTTACTGCAGCTCTCATGTCTAAAAGCTTAGATATAGCAACAGATCTGTGTTGTATTTTTTTCTTGTGTTGGTTTTTTTTTCCCCCTGCCCTGCATGTATTCAGACAGTGTATTGTGTTGACTGGAGGCCATTTCATTCCTGTGTGAATGCAGTGTTGCACTGTCATCATCAATCACCTGCTCAGCTCTTCCCTGAAACTCATTTGCTCAAAACCGTTATGTAGACTAACACATACAATGTGTAAATTTTGTGGCTACCCATGCATATCTCCGAAGTTTTCTAACATTAGCCTAGTGTTAGTCATTCAGAATGTTTGAAACATGGTTGGTAAAGATGATAATTACTGTGATTTCCTTCTCCTGCAGTTTATACATGCAAGCTGTCAGACAGAGAACATCCCCTCTACCTGCGCTTGGTGGCAGGCCCCAGAACAGAAATGCTCAGTTTTGTTCTACGTGAGCATGAAACTGGAGAAGTCATGGTATGACAACACCCATGCTGGTTCGGTGGGCTTGTGTAATTTCAGAGATGGGTTCTGTTTGGTCCGTGCTGACAAGGCAATCCGCTTCTTGGGAACAGATTTGGGGGGTTTTTTCTTGTTAATTTACTTGGTGCCTTTTGCAAACATTTCATTTGTGGTTAGGCTGACCTGTTGTTACTTGCAGAACAGAAAAATATTTAAAAGAGTAAAATGTTTTCCAATTCCCTAAGGGGTGCAAGGAGGGTGCCCATTACTGTTCCAGCTTGAAATTTTTTTGAGTGTTTTGTTTAAAAATACTGCATTTTGTGTATTTCCTGTTCATCTCATCCATTCTTTTCTCTTTTTGTCTTTCCAGTGGGAAGCTTTCAGTATTCCTGAACTGCAAAACTTCTTGCGTATACTGGACAAAGAGGAAAACGACCAACTGCAGATCTTAAAGAACCGTTACGCAGCTTACAGAGGCAAACTTGAAGAAGCCCTTCGAGGAGTGTTTAAACCTGGTTAAAAGGGGGCCAAAGGACACTCAGGAAAAACGCACGCTACCAAATGTCAGTATAGCATGCCAAACCCAACCTACAAAGAGCAGCAGAGAGTAGTTTTCTTTATTCAGAAGACTGTTTTGTGATGCCAGGGTACCTGAATTTTGCTATAGACTTAGTTCCATAAGCCAGGTCACTTAGCATCTTGCACCTGCAAGTAAGGGATTCTGCATGTTTGTACATCGGTTTGCAATCCTCTGTGTTCCTAGAGAGTTTTCCAAGTTACCTTGGTGCAAGCTGTGAAACTGTAAGCAATTTTCTAGGATGCTATGAAATAAGATATTTTTTTTCTTCTTTGCTTAATGGTAGCTTTACAAGTAAGGATGTGCAAATTGATGGGTTAAAAAAAATTAAAACCATCTGAATGAGAATTAGTTGGAGAACTGTCTTTCAGATGAAATTGATTTGCACTACCTTTCTGTTTTCAGATAGTTACTGTATAATTTGTGAGAGAACTATTATAGATAGAAGGCACACGAGATCTTGTGGTTTGTACTGTGAAATTTGTGGAAAGCTTTCAAGTGGCCTTTCTGGAGAAGGTAAAGAGAAAGTTGGAAAGAAGGTAAGAGCTGAGGGAGGAGAACTGTAGAAGCTGACAGAGGAGAAGACTGGTTTTAAATGGAAATAGTATTTACACAGAGGAAGTTAAAATACTAATTCTACAAGGTTAAAGTTTTAGGATGCTTATAATATTGTGAATAAGTGTATGGTTTTTAACTGTGTAAATCCACACTGGAAAAGAAATAAAGATAATAGAAATAGTGGGAAGGAATGAGAAGCAAAAGCTAAGTAAGAAAGGAAATGAAGCTGCACATACAAGTCACTATTGGACAAGTGGGTTCCATAAACGCATAGTGGGGGTTTGAAAAGTGTGGACAAGCTAAAAAGCTGCTTACTTGAATTCTGAAAAACGGTCTATGTCTCAGATAACTCTGTGAGAAATACCCATCTAGTGAGTGTTCAGACATAAGCTACAACTACAGATGCATTTGGTCTTTATTTTAAGTCAGATCTTTCCTCTGGCTCAGCAATCCATTTTTAGGCTGGATAATTTTGAATTATCATATCTGAAAGGTAAAAATAGCTTCCTCTGCTTCTTTGTAAAGGCTCAGTCAGGCAAAGAAAGTAAAATGTTTTGTTCATATTTCCAGCTCAGCAGAAAATTAACATTTATTTAAGTCTGTGTTGATGACTGAGCTTATTATGCTTTTAGTACTTCAGAAAGTTTTTCCCTTAAAGTTTTTAAACTCTTAATTGAAAAACTGATTACCAAATTCTGCAGACTGCTGATTTACTTGATTTAAAAGTAGGAAAAATGTAGCAAGAAAACTTTTTACTTTAGTGTAAATATAATTGTTGGTCTTTCAGAGTTATTTATCTAAAAAAGCATGTTCAAAAGAAACCAAAGAAGTGGGTGTGCAATAGAAGCATGAGGCAGATTCGAGTGACTGATACTTTAGTCATTATCATGCCAGAGGGGAATTGAGTTATATACAGGGGGTGGGGGAGTGGAGGAGTGCTAACGATTGAAGAGCAGCAAAAGTTGTTTTAAATTCCCAAGGAATTGTTAAAACTTTAGTGACATCTAATGGATACTGTGTGAAACTCCAAGATGCTTCTGTTCTTCCCCTTAATTTGATGTAATTGTGCCTTTGTTTCCTTTCCTTAGTAAGATTTTTTAAAAACTCTTCACAGATTTTTTTTTTTTTTTTGGTAAAAAGAATTTGCAAGCTTATGAGACAATCATAATGTTTTAAAGGGTTAAGAGAAATTAAGAGTAGTACTAATGATAAAGTATATATAAGGCATATCTTGTTTGTTTTCTTAATTTCACATGTAACATGGTAGTGCATGTGTGAGTTAGTAACATTATCTTCAAGTGAGACACTTTATAATGGTTCAGGGAATGTTTTTGTGTTTTGTTACAATTTGTTTTTCTCGGAATGCAGCAGCATGTCGGTGGATATTGTTAACATCTACTTATGTATCTGCCCATAGCTATGTAATTATTACATAATCACTGTCGATATTGAACCATTTGTTGCTCAGATTCAAACACTGTTTGAGTTTAAAAGTGGAGTATAAAAATATGTGAATTTTTTGGTTTTACTTGAACTAAATGATCAGTCTTTTTAAGTAGGCACATCTGCATTTACTTTAGCCAAAAACCTCAATCAGTGTTGTATGCACTATGAGTCTTGATTTGGGGTGGAGGGGATGGGGGTGGGGGACCAAAATAAACTTATATTTTAATTTTGTCTTAGTCCACAGTTAATTATTGTAAAATGTCATGTGTGGGGTTAACTTTTCTCATTTTTGTTCTACACACTGGCAATTACAGCAGCTTTAATTTAAAAGAAATGGTCATGCCTTGTCAGTTTTATCTTTTTTTTTTTTTTTAATTTTAGCATCAAATTGAACTATCAAAGTTTTTGTTGCAAAACTGTTTTCATATAATTGTATGATGGTACCAGAATGATTAAATGATAGGGGGAGGGGGAATGCAGGGAAACATTAAAATGTATGTCTTTAAATACAAACATTTAAACTATTTATAATTTTGACAAACTTAGTTTTATTTTTCTAGGGAAGTTTTTATTCCCCTTAAAGTTATTACTGAAATGGCAAAAAAGTGATGGTTCAGTTATTAAAGTTGAAGTTGGCAATACTCAGTTTCGTGGTGTGTGTTTGGTTTTTCCTTTACCTGATGCTGGTGTTGTGATTGCTTTGAAGCCAAATGGATTTCCTTGTACAGCAGCAATAAATGCTGTGGGCAGACACAGCTGTAAATTAAGGTTTGCCTGGAAGAAGAGGAAGGGGAGCCAAGGGCAACGGGGCCACCACATTTTGTCTCACAATGACAGGATTTTCAGATCCTCATGGAGCCGAATCCACCATAGAAGGAATGCAGCCATGGGCACATAGTGGTGCTGGATGGGAAAATCCATAGGCCAGAAGTTTCCTTCTATAAAATACCTCACAGAAACACGAGGTGAATACAGCAAGGCTGGAGGTGATACCCTGGTCTGCGCTCCACAGGAAATGCATTTCACTCCTTCTTATCTTCAATGACTTTTTAGTGCTTTCCTCCAGTAACATGTGTTTAATTTTCTGGTATTTTGTGATTTCAAAACCAGTTTAATCCTCCCTAATTGAATTGGTGGAAGGAAGCTGCTGTGCTGCTCACCTTGGTCTCTGTGGCGCTTCCCTGGGCACTGCAGCCCTGCAGCAGAGGAGAAGGTCAGTGGCTCAGCCAGTGCCTTGAAGGCTGGTTTATGTGAGACCTCGCAGCTTGGTATGTGCAACAACCACACTACAACTGTGTATGCACTTGGCAATGCCAAGTTAATACCAAATAGTCCAGCACTCAGCCAGGGTGAGAAGGATCAAAGGCCTTAAAGATAGCGGAGTCAGCCAAGTTCCTGACCACACAAGTAACTGCGCTCGTGTCTCTGCCTGCAGCAGTTATGTACTACTAGAAGTACAACTTGGCAAAAGAAATCTCTTGTGTTTTGGCTGGTTCAGCAGCAGAATCATCCATCCAGATGGAGGGCAAAAAGGGAGGGCAAATGCAGTTGTTTTAAAATTTGCATAGTTCTCAAAAACCTGTTTTTAGAGGAGCTCAGAATATGAAAGAACTTTTCACTGTAATATAAAATCTCTCCTTACCTGTCCATGTAGTTCATCTTGGTTGCCTGGAAGTGAGGTGGCAAAACAGTAGGTGCAGGAACCTTACAGATGGTGGGAAGCAGAGGGCCCATGTTTTTCATCTTTCCAACAACTCTCTTACCCAGAGTGTGATGCAAGCACAGACTGTGCTGAAAGTTAGAGGCTTGACACAGATCACAGACACACTGTGCTTTGCTGTTCAGAAGACAGGTTTAGTACTGTGAACTGAGGGCTACCCTGTTCTGGAGGAATTATTTTCCTCTTGATGTGTAAGTAGATAAAAGAGATTCCTGGAGTAGCTAGTAGGCATCTCCCAGTCCAGAGCAGTTTGAGCCAAGCAGTTCAGACACCCAGCACCTCTGCTGGGAGCTAGTTTTGTGGTGTTTTTCAAGGAAATACTGCATAGGCCAAGATGTGTTTGAAAGGACACCTTGTTGTGTTGTGTGCTGATGAGGTGAGAGCTAATCATCTGGAATGTTCTTTTTTGCCATTGTGCAAACAAATTAGAAGAAGCACATTCAGTTGCAACAATGGAGGCCTAGAAGGGACCCAGCTTAACACCTTGCACTGAGGCACCCAGTACTAGCAAATGACTTCTCAAAGCAGTTTCCTTCCTGGTTTCCTCCAAGGTGCTTTTTAAAATTGTCTTTTTGCAAGGATTAATTCTGCAAATGCTCAGTGTTGCCAAATCTAACATCTTTCATGATGCTGTATAAAGTACTGTCTTGGTCCTATTTTTCTTGAGTGTGTTTTCCATATGAGTAAGACAGGATATTATGAATAAATAGAGGAGTTCTGTTTTGCCTTCACTTTACTACAACTACCCATGAGAGAAGTCAAGTGCAGAGCCCTCTTCCTTTGCACTAGCTCTATAAACCTAAAAATAGCATCATAGTCTTGTGCATAGCATGAGAGAAAATAGCAAGTCTAAGATTTCTCTCTTTAAATACAGAATCTGGTATGTGGTCAGAAATTTCAGCTGTTTTAAACGTGCCTTGGGAGGCATTAGAACACCAGTATATTTTATGACACTGAAGTTCAGCCTCTTGTTTTTTTACCAAGCAAAGTAGTTGTATTGGAACAGTGGCTCCAAAGTTCTCCCTTCAGATAAACAGGTGCTTTCTTTATGCCAGTAATCTTAGACCGTTCTACTCTAGATCTGTCAATTGATATTTTCAAAATCTCTGCTCTTTGCTCACAACATTTTTCCATAGATGTGTGTGAGCAAATGTTAGACATTTTTGTATCTGTTTATCTGCTCTGGTTTAAGTGCTTATTAGACACAGTCAGAACTTCTGGGTTTTTAGTAACACTGGCACAGAAAGGCAGCAGAAGTTGTGCAGAGTATCTTTTAACACCTGCTGCCAACTGAGAGCACTCATTTTTAAATATAAACGAGGCTGACTGAAAATGCAGGACACACATTAAAAAACAATGTCTACTTTAGTTCAATCCATGTAAATAGAAGACAAATCAGACAAATGTTTCCAGACAATTAACAGACTTTACACCAAAAGTGTATTTTGTTGCACAGTAAGTCTAGGATTGGTCATGTGCATTGTACTGTTTCAAAGCCTGGAGTAGCCAAAAGGTAGGAGGATGCTATTTTTTATTGCCTGTGTTTTTACTTTGATATTCCAGAGAAGCTTTTGGAATTACAAAAGATTTGAATACTTCTGTGAGGTTTTTGCCTTGTTACTTTAAACACTTTTAAAACAGAGGATTAAAAATACTGCTAAGCAGGTATCCAAGTGCAATATTGCAAACTTACACATTTTTTGTATTATTTTGGTAGTTCAAAACCAAAGCAAAACATCACAGCTCAAAAAACCCCACACTTTTTTTTTTGTTTAGGATTTTAATGCTCTAGAAGGGATACTTTCCTGGTTTGGATTGTTTTGTTTTCCATTGTAATGTTTTCCTTTTATCTACTGAACATTTTGGCTGGCTGATAATGTGGCAGAACCCTCAGAACAAAAAAACAGAGCATTTATGCTCTGCTGATGCTTTCACTGATTTTCATCAACGCTTTGAGAATATTTCTATGACTCCTTAGTTCCATCCTTGATACGTTTGTTTGCTGCCAACCCAGAGGAGTCTGCAAAGCCATTCTTACCAAGCAAGAGTCATGGAGCTGGCTTTTCCACAGAACTTGCACAGGAAAAATGCTGAAGTTGATCATTCAGTTGTCTTCCATCAAGTCACTCTAATTCCTGTTTCTAGCAAATGGCTGAGTTTTGGCAGCTGGAATAAGTTCAGACAACTTCCATACCTTGAGCAAGCAGGCACTGACTATATTTTGAGATTTGTGAGCAATTACTGAACTCCAGCTTTAGACACAGTCCAGTGGGTATTATCAAAAGATTAAGTGACAGCTGAATCTGACTACAGCAACATCTGGAAAGCAATATATTAGCACTGCCCTTCTTTCTAATCATGGAATTCCCCTGCCTCATCCCTTGAATAAAAGTATTGACACTAGATTTCTTTTTCTAAAACAGGTGACTCCTTTAGCCTTGTAGCAGCAATTTTCTTCACAAATATGGCTTGTTCTTAATTAATGGAAGACTGCTACCTTCCTTGCTGAAGGAGAAATGGTTATGCAGCAATGCAAATACAATGCAGAAATACTTGTTTTAGTAGCTTGTGAAAGCATCAGACTTAAATAGGTTGAAGGTGTACCAAATGACCTTCCTCTGTAGTTCAGAAAAGTTATGTATATATTTTTAAGCAGAATCATTCAGGGAATTCAACTCTCTAACAGGGATTGAGGTGAGTAAGTAGCATTTATCTTGCTGTTGCTCACAGTTCCCATTTTGGAAAAAGCCCTTATGTGTGATTTTATTCTTCCTCTTTCCCAGAGGCAGAACACGCTGCTCCTAATTATGAACAGCATTTTCTCCATTGTGCTTTTTGTTAAAGTTTTCCATCTATTCACCTACATCAGTTTCCAAGGAACTCTGAGCAAGTACAGTTGCATTTCAATTTGTCCTCTCACCTCAGTGTTTCTTCCTGGTGCAAAGCAGTCAAGTGTTATCCTGCTAGACGCTGTATATATGGTTCCCTGTGACCATATGAAGTAGCCATTGTTAGGCAGCAGGGCAGTAAAGCAGAGAACAGGCTTATAAAACAGGAATTCAGTCCTTAGACATGTGACACAGCTTATTCCTGTGGAAAGGTTTAACTCAAGCTCAGTAACAAAGTTAGGAAGTTTGAGAGGCAGTTTATTTTTTCTTTCTCCAAAAGTGCAGCAGTGAACAGGGTCCTCTGGAAGGGCACTTTCTAAACAGACATTCAAAACAGCAGAAATATGCTCACAACATGCTACAGCAAAGTATGCTCACATACAGAGAGAGTAATACAAAGAAAATTAATTTTAATCAAATCACAACAAATGAGAGCTGTTTCATTATGTTGAAATATTGTATTCAGCTTGTTGAATCAGTCTCAAATTTAACTTTATTGAAAAGGTATTATAACCTGCTTTGGCTGTGTGCTTCCATGTATGTGTCCCTGTTACAGCTTTATTCCTCAAAATGAAGTCCGGTTTACTGGGCTGATGCTGGGTAAGCATGTACTAGCTGTATTCACTTATACTGAAGTGATGATAATATTTTTTGGTTTAGGGTAACATAATGAAATTATTAACTGCATTTCTCCCTGTATAGTATCTACCTTACCAGATCAGATCACTAAAAGTTCACAGCTCTACTTTCAGTAATGTTTAAAAAAGTAAAAAAATTATCACATTTTATCTAAACCCAACTCTGTACCAGTAAGGCCCTTTATTTAAAACTGTACATTTAACATGAATGCCTTTGGTAACGAGGTACAGGTACAGCCATAGTCATAACATATGAAATGGAATATCCCAAAAGACCATTTAGTTTTAAAATAACTTAGTTGGGAATTAGATCTGAGTAAGAGTCAAAGTTCCTTCATAGTGGTTTTTTAATCAAAGATAAGAATTAACACTGTTCATTTGAGGCTGTTATGCTTTATG